CTCGAAGAACCCCCCAAGCAAACAGGGTTCCTTGAACATCCCTCGAGGGTCCGTCTACTTTACGGCCAACAGATTTTCATTGTGACATGAGAAAACCAAAATCGGGAAACAAGCTGTTTTTGTCTTTTTAATGTCTAATTGAAGATATTTACACTGTAAAACCAATGCAATGATCTATAAATACAAATAAAAAATACATTTATATTATTTAATGTGAATGTTTTGTGAAGTCATTATATGTGAAATTACAGTAATTATTGTTTACACTGATAAAAACTGTATTTGGACACTGATAAACAACATTTATTCTTTTTAGCTAAAAAAAAAGAAATTTTCTTTAAATAAGCAGTAATTTTATGATTATGTACAGTTACAGATCTTTAACAAACATGTAAATTCACAGGATATTTTTGTAATTGTATTAATATTTCCATGTATTTACAAAATACAGAAACAAATCTATACAATAAACATACAAATTATTTTAGCTCACAATAACTTCCGGGTCAAACACTTCAATCAAAAATTTGAAAACGTTTTTTTCCCCTTTTATATTTAAACAAAAATCAAACCGTTTCTCTGTTTACGTGGTTGTAAGTTCTCCATTTTGGGTAAATTTCTATGTCGCGACCTGGAAGTTAATGTACTTTTATTCTGCTGGCTTTCAGAAGGGTCCAACTGCTCGTTTTCCATTTTTGTTCCCCAATTTATTAATGGTAGATTTTTCTCATTTCAAAATGAAAATCTGTTGACTGAGAAGCACACACTGACCCTCGAGGCTCTCACACTATCACATGACTGTAAACAATAATGATTCAATCTAAAATGTTCAAATAACCAAAACTGCAAATCTTCTCTCTCCTGGTGAGTTTCTACACCTCTCTGTCCTCCTCCTCCTCCTCCTCCTCACTCCGGTGTGTGTTGTGTTGTTGTCGGCTGAGCTCAGATTCTCCCCCGGGTGCTGGGTGGAGGGTGGGAGCCGCCTCACCCTCTCCTCTCAGGTTTCAGAGAGGGAGACGACCGCAGAGGAGCGTGAATAATTCAGCCAGCCGCCAACAGCGGGCATCTTCTTTCCACAACACACACACACACACACACACTCTCACACACACACACACACAAACACACACTCTCACACACACACACTCACAGTGACCTGATATGCCCCCAAAGCAAACCAGTTAAAGGTCAGCAGGTCAGACTGGGAGCTTGAACTTGAGAGAAGACCAAACCATCACCCTGCAGTCAGAGTGATAATAATGATAATATTCAGCATAATAAAAACTCTAAATACTTTGTCGTAGCTGAGCGGCTCAGAGAGGCTAGCTCTCCAGTATGTGTGTGTGTGTGTCTGTGGAGG